TGGGGGGGGGGGGGGGAAGCTGGACATTTTTGGGGGGAAGCCTCTAGCCCTCAAATACCCTAGATATAACCCTTGCCATACGCTTTCCCTCCAAAATAACCTGACATTTGGCATCGGCTTACATGTAGTGGGTGTAAGGACGGTCTTTCGGGCGTACTCTACGTCATAACCAAATTTTCTTGTTTTCATAGGTTACCATTTTATCTTAGCAATGGGGCTCCGCCGCGCGCGGTAGCTCCACTAATAGCTTCCCGAGGCTTTAGGCAAGGCTTAAGGATTTTGACAAAATGCAAGTGAAATTATTCTCTAATTTCACTAGTATACCATTTGGTCACGTATTAATATCATGGGTGACAAATTACACCCGCAATCGTTTCGAATCGTTGGTTTTTGACATTGTTCATCGAATTGATTGTCGATCGAGAACTCAACGCAATGAATGCTTTACAGCTTGAATTTTGTCTTAAGTGGATAATTTTCAGAATTCTGAGACAAAGTACCTGATATAATCCTTCTAAAGCGTCCTTTACTGCTCTTTTCAAAAACACGCGAACTCTGAATTTCAAAACTCACTTTCACAACTGCGTTATTCGCTGCCGTCAAGCATAATTGCGACCACAAGTAACAAACCTTGAAACACAGCAACGCACAAAACGGCTCGAAATGCCCCAATCACAAACCATGACCTTTAGAACCCGTTGAAGTAAATTACTGTTTCCTAATAGGTCCGCTAAGATGATGGACGGCAGCGAAAAACGCAAACGTCAGTTGGCTTTTAAACTTCAGAATTCGAGTGTTTTTGAAAAGCGCAGTAATGCCCTAACATATTCATTCATAAAAGCCACCTTCACAATTACGTTATTCGCTGCCGTCAATCATAATCACGACCACAAGTAACGAACCTTGAAACACAGAAACACACAAAACGGATCGAAATCCTCCAATCACCAAAAACAACCATGACCTCTTGAACCCGTTGAAGTAAATTACTGTTTTCTAAGAGGTCCGCTAAGATGATGGACAGTAGAAAAAACACAAACGTCAGTTGACTTTTAAACTTCAGCATTCGCGTGTTTTTGAAAAGCGCAGTTGTAATGCCCTGACATCCTCACTCATAACATTTAAAACTTTACCTCCAGATTTTGTCACTGACACATACGGAAGGTTTCCTTGGCAATTTCATGATTTTTAAAACCTGTGGAATTATAGCGGAGCTCTCGCGTGTTAAGCGCGCCAGCGGAGCACCATGGGTAAGAAAACGAAGTAATCTACCCATCTGAGAAAATTTCACGTGACCGTACACCGACCGCCCGCCCGAGAGAGCGTCGTCCGCACCACAGGCATACCAATGTAAAATAACTCAATCCAGAGGTCAGTGGTAACCCAAATGCGTCTTGTAAAGCAGAGACAACAAAAGAGTCAATAAAGACGAAAACGGAAAGCGGAAATTGTTTCTCTATCCATGCTGTCTGAAGTATTAAGCTTAGATATGTTGTCATGTTCACAAATTTGGAATATAGAGCAAGAGAAAGACAGAGAAAAAGAGAAAGTGAGCGGCAGGCCAGCGAAGCTCAACGAGAAAAAGGGCGACAGGTATTTAGAGCGAGAGATAAAAAACAAAACATACATTTTTTCGTTGGAAGAACAGCATGAAAATTTTGTAGCGGCGGTGACAAAATGAGAAATGCTAACGGCCACCAATGCAAGGTAAAAATGAGCGGCAGTGAAAAAAGTGAATGGGAACACGTTCATAACGTTCACACGTTCATTTCCTCCATTAAACGTGTAACTAAAAACTTTTTGGAAGTTTCACGTTGTAGTCGTGCAAAACAACGGCAAAAGATGTACAAAAAAGTGTGCTGCACGTGCAAAGTTGCTTCTGCTAATTAGACTTATTGTTTTTCACCGTTTTCCGGCGTTGCGTGCCTTCGCCGCTTAACATTACACGATTTTATATTTTGTTTGAACAAACTATAAATATTATCGAGAGCTGGCTAAATCTATTTATTACTGCGCTTTTCACAAATATGCGAATTCTCAAGTTCAAAAGCCAACTGACGATTGCCTTTTTCACTGCTGTCAATCACCTTAACGAACCTCTTAGGAAACAAAACTTTACTTTAACGGGTTCAAAAGGTCATGGATGATGATTTGTGATTGGTGGATTTCGATCCGTTTTGTGTGTTTCTGTGTTTCAAGGTTCGTAATTATGATTGACGGCAGCGAAAAACGCAATTGTGAAGGCGGCTTTTGAACTTTAGAGTTCGCATGTTTGTGAAAAGAGCAGTAAAAACTGAATCATTGGATAATGCAATTCTAGCATTTTGATTGGCTTAGCCGTTATGGTATATGAGCTATTATACCATGCTCTCCATATATGGTCGGTGTACGCGTCAGTTTAAATTGGAAGCTAGTTGAGATTTTTTTTTGCGCGAAGGATAGAACGGCACCCGAAGCAAATCGTTTTAATTCATTTCTTAGAATACTAGAAATTCAATTTCATCGAAAGAAAAAAGAAAAACACATGGAACTAAAGTACCTTGACCAGCTATGAAAGACGACAAGTGTTATTTCTTCATAATTGCGAAACCATTCGCCGATCGAGTTACTCGCCGATAGATAACTGCGGCTTGTTTATCCGACATCAAGAATATAAATCACAAGTAACCAGCTACAACCACAGGCTATGCAGCCATTCACTAGAGCAATCGAGGCGGCAGTATAGCTTCTTTTCTCGTTCAGCAAAACCAGCTTGTGGCTTCAAACAACTTCATAACAAGCGACCGAGGTAATAGTTTTTCCCCGTTGTTCTTGCTTTTATGACTGCACCGAAAATCCAAATTCACAGTAATTTCGACGGCTGTCTCTTAAAAATTCTTTTCCTTCACATTATCTGCCAGGTTTTTTTAGCTGTTCTGCTGTGTAAAATCCTAGAATCCCGATGAGTTTTTCAAAAACTAATGTTCATCGCTACAATGTTTTGATTTTTCATTTATGCAGTCAAGGCAAGTCCGTTCGGCGTTGACAGTTTTGATAGACGTGTGACATGTGAATAGCGGAAGTCCCTTGTCTTTTCTGGTTTTTTCTAGTCGGGGAGATTCAACGAGATTTTGTGGGCGTTTTTAATAAAACAATTATTCCACTCGCGCTTGTTGGATATGAGATGATTATAGCCAACTCGGCGCTACGCGCCTCGTTGGCTATCTATCATCTCATGTCCAACGCGCCCTCGTGGAATAATTGTTAAATATTAAATTAGTATAGGTAATAGCATGATTAGTAGTGATATTTGGCATAAATACCACGAGAGATATTTCAAAATTGTTATACGTAATATCACGAGCGGTAAGGCCGGAGAAATTTGAGACAATTTTGAAATATCACTTACACTATCACGCTATTATTTGTTTATACTATTACCCGCAAAAGGTTTGTAATTTTCAAATGTAGGCATTTCAAATTAAGCTGAAATACCACTGCTTTAAGCCAATCAAATTGCAGAAATTTCTGACGTAGTAGTATAAACGCTGAAATTTCCGGCCGACGAGAGACAGGCAAGTGTTTAAGAAATGTCTACGAGGAGGTAATTTTGTTAATAACTGAGTCTTATAGATATTATTTTGAATAATAATATTTGGCCCTCGGTGGATAACATCCTCCTTGATCTGCAAAATTATTCACATCATACTCAGCCTCATTCAATAATATTTAGTTGTCTAAATTTACTACTGACATCTTTTTTTTTTTCTTTTCGGTAAGGTTGCATATTGAGGCTCTAAAAAAAGTCGTTTTGAATCATCGGATTGGTCTATTGGTTCTTCAGACCATTCAGGGCCAAAAATGGTACAGTACTGGGGTAACAATTTCCTCTTCTTTTGCTTTATCTAGGCTGGTCACAAAGGCGTGGGGATATTACCTTTCGGGTAGGAACATGCTCATAACGAGCAATGGAAAAGAATATAGCCCTAGCATTAGCTTTCCAACAAACTCTGGTTCATGGTATAACCTCAGGTCTGAAGTCAGAGGCACTCAAGTAAAAATATACGTCAACGACAAGTTAGTCAAGAAAATCACAATGTTAGGAGATGGAGCAGACGCTAAAAGCAACAATCAAGTGGGGATATGGTGTCATAGCAGCATCCCTGCAAAGGGCGACAGTTTTAAAGGTAATGTAAAGAGAAATTTCCTCAATGAAAAATATCCGGATAAACTTTTATTATTCAACGTTTTGGTTATTAGTTTCCTCCGTATTCGTTTTTGGCTAGTTCCGGAGCTCCCCTCGGGCTATAAAAGTGGCTATAACTTTAAGAGAAAAACACTGTCGTGCCGAACACAGTGGATTAAGAGGCATGAGGCACATGAAGTTTTCTGTGCTTTTTTTCCATCCATACAATGGGCAGTACAAGGTATGCCAAATGAGCGGCTGTACGTTTGTAAATCAAATTAAGGAATTTGTCTCCGGAACTGGGACTCAGTGACAGTAAAAGCAAGGCAAACAGCGTATTACTGTGAAAATCACAAAACCGTGAACACCAGAAATATTTATGGAATGTTATTGTGTTGCGAGAAATTAGAAATTAGCCAATAAGGCGCGAGATAGCTAAACCTCAAACGGCAACGGTAATTAGTTTGTGGCTGTGAGGTTTGCTTGCGTATCCTGAACTTTATTGTAATTGGCCGGTACACAATCAATATTCCTGAAATTTTTCAGGTTTTTACGGTTTTCTGAGTTTGACAGTAAATGCAGCATCCAATTTAGAGTTTTAAAAATTTGACCTTTTTTGATATTCAATTGATCCGAAGACCAGTTTAACTTTTTAGAAAGAGAGCAAATGACGTGACACAGCCCCTGCGTTACCAATTTCACTGCCTCTACCAATACATTGAAGATATTGGTAATCATCTATTTCAGTATCGCTTCAAAGATGTCCAGCACTTACTGTCAGCCGACTCGTTGAAACATTACCGAACACATGTGTGACGTCACAGGTGGACATCAATGCAAGATGCTCGTTCTCATGCCCACAGGGATACCAGCTGCAAGGTCCTTCTTATAAGAATTGCGAGTCTAGTGGTCAGTGGACGGACAATAGGACTGTTTCATGTATAGGTAAGATTATGGTGAAACACAATATGACTGGTCCTGACAGACACCAAAAATTAGTAGAGGTCATGTCCCTAGCGACTCATGAATACAAATGCGTGTTATCGTCTACTGCTCTCCTAGTAAGAATCACCCTTCTCTAACAAGGCAGATAGTACTTCAGATATGTACGACAGAAGTAGTTTAGAAGTGTTATTATGTGGGTTTTAATTAACTCAAACACTTACAATTGGCTATGATCGAAGATGAACCAAACTTATGTCTTACTTAAACCTTATCGCTCATATTTTTTTCTTTTTTTTTTTTTATGAGAAGAAAGAAGATCTAATGCTAAGAGGGTATTTCTGTTTTTCAGTTAAGAAATCTCTTGCTGATATTTTTTTTTTCAGACATTAATGAGTGTGCTGTATCTAAGGGTGGCTGCAGTCACAAATGTGTGAATACTGCGGGAGGATACAAATGTGAATGTCCTGATCCTGAACTGAACTTATCATCTGACAATAAGACATGCTACGGTAACTATCATACAACAAAACAATTTCCTGTCTATATTGGGATAGAAAAGTTCCCATCCGATCCTTGCAGACCCAGGGGCAGTCAGTTGTGTCAGGAATATAAGGCGCTCGGAGTTTTTCAATATCTCGTCGCGCCATCTCTCCCGACCTGAGATAGACAGCCCTTGGGCCTCCGGGGATGGAACTTTGATTCACTGACCGTTGAGTAGAAATTCGCTTGGCTGCCACTTGCACTAAGCCCGCAGCACTCGTCAAGAATACTTGGAGGGACTCGAATGTTGTTATCCACCTTAGCGATCGGCCTCCTGTCAGTGGATGACTTTGATTCTCCTGGATTTGCATAACTCTTCACACTATACTAAGTCTCATGTTTTACGTATTCTTGCGTTTCTTCTGTTCAGTTTTCATCGGAACTTCCGCTATTTCGTCTTCGGATAGCAGTGAGCCCCATTGTTGTGGTTCACTATTGCCCAAGCAGCTTCGTTTCCAGGCAGATATACCATCGATGAACCCCGTTTCCAAGCAAACATACCTTCGAATCGATTGCATATTGCTCGCATCACACAAATTTGGTCAACGCCAGCTGGTTAAGAAAAATTAGCCGAAGGATTTGAGGCAATCGAAAACAGAAAAATCAGTTTGAATAAATAAAAATGGCAATTAACTTTTTGCAAATTGGTTGAATGGTGTTGGATAATAACCAAAAAATAACCCGCTCTAGGTCAACAAGCAGCCTCTTTTATACTACTCTTTCAATAATCTTCTAGACATACCTTTTCCTTGGTTATCGAAAACCGCGAACAAGTCCTTTTAGTAACTCGGGAAGAAATACAACTGTAATGTCACTGCAAAGACTTAAAAAGCTGGATTTCTCTGTCGCAAGCTGGTCGATCTATTATTGCCTCTGGCAAACAGAAAACGTTGATGACGCATGCACCATGTTTCGTATTAAATTTCAGACGTTAATTCCAATTTCCGTCTCCCCCTAAATTAAAGGTAAAGATGAACCTTGTTAATACGGACACTGAAGGGACCGTAAAAAGTGTCCGTCAGTATTAACGGGGTGTCCGTTATGTTAAGCGGGGTCAAGTTATTAAAGTGAAAAAGACACCTTTAATTAAGGCAAAATGCTAAGGAAATAAAAGAGGACAATGAAAGCATCATCAAATTAAACATCTCTTATAACCTTTACTAACAAAGCCGTCTTTTTTGCGGACTAAATCTGAGGAAACACTCAAAAATCGCTTCTCTATATGTTACTTCATCAAAACTGTCCCATTTATACTATATTTGATGCCAAAAAAAGGGGCTATCACAATTTCATCCTATCCGGTATTCTTTAGCACTGGATGCTTCGACAAGCTGTCAACTGTTTTTTTTGTTTTGTTTTTTTGTTTTGTTTTTTTTTTTCCTTTAAGAAGGAAAGGTCTATTAGATCACACAGTTAATAATGAAATGTTTGCATTAGCGATGTTGACCTTGTATGAGAACCTGTTGATTGCGCAAATAAAGGGTCCTTTGTCCGCATTAACGGGTGTCCGTATTAAGTACGTTGAATTTAGAGA